CTAGTCTCGGCACAGCTCCTGTGTAGATGAGCTGAACGGTATGAGGGCATGTACCATTCGGTGCTGTCCACGTTAAGAGCAGCCCATGGGAGCACCCACAACAGCTCCATGAACAGTCAAGATCACCATCTAACGGTAACCTCATTCTCAGTAGTACAGCACATGTCCAGGGGTTATGCAAACGAGCGTTCCCCATGCACAACTCTTTCCCGTGACCCACAGAGCCACCCAGCTCCATAGGACTTCTCCAGCAGCCAGTCGGGAGCAGCAGCCTTCATGAGCTGCTGTGGGCTAGCTTCCCCACAGTTGCCTGGGATGACACAAGCCTGTTCTCATAACCCAGAGACTTTCTGACACAGGCAACATTCTGGCAACAACCTCTCACCTGTGCGAAGAACAGGTCTGTGTCCACAGAGTTCAGCTTTCCTAAGCACAAGGCTTCCTAGTCACTGTGTGACTCCCTGGGTCTAGCCAGGATGAAGCACAGGGGATAGCCTCTGCCAAGCTCCTACATCCCATTATAGACCCTCCCATCTGTCTCCTCATCTCTGATATGAGAAGTATATGGACTCAAAGGCCACAGAAACAAGCTAAGCTGAGCCCCAGAGATATGTGGAATAGGCCCCAAGACATGGCCACATGGCTAAGCCACAGCTTTGTGGATAGAGCCGTTTCCTGCCTCCTGAGCACAGCGGGAAGAACCTCTATGCAGATGACGAGTGTGTCCCCCTTGACCCCACTACTGAAGCTTGGGACTGAGACATGGCCCTGTCCTCTACTTCTTGCATATCAAGAATCAGAAACCACAAATTCCTGCCCCCAGACTGCAGAGCAAGTGGCAAGGGGTACAGGGCAGGTAGGGCTGTCCCCAGTGTTGGGAAGGGTCTGGGTCTGGATGTGCTGCCTGCATTATCCACAAGCTGTAGTCCCTGGGAAGTTGTCCAGCCTGCTCCTGCACACAAAGCTGGCTCACGAGGCCAGGCCATTCCCCTGTATGTGGTTGGAGCCATGGTTCCTAGCCATACCACTCCTGTTGGCCTTTCCCCCAAGCTCACTTCAGACCCCTCACTCCTCACTAGGGCTCCAGAATGAACAGGACTTCCGACCAAGAGTGGTAATCAGAGGTTGACTCTCATTGACTGTCTCAAAATACAAGGTGGATAGCTCCTGAGGAATGATTAGCAAGGCTGACCTCTGGCCTCCATATACATGTGCACACACAGAGAAACACACACACACACAAGCACAGCACAAATTTTCATGTATAAATTATTCAGCCACAAGTAAAACTAGGAAGTAACATGAGTTCTGGAGCGGTGGACAATCTGCTGACACTGGCGGGGTGAAGTCGCCTCTCCATTTCCATTAATACTTCTTGGAAGTCACAATTTTAGCTCCTTTAGCAGCAAAATTAGTAGCTGTGGTTTGAAGCTGTTTTGGAAACCTAGATATGACGAGCTACCCAGTACAGTCCTCGGTCCCTGCTGTCTATGGAACCCTTCCCCAAGTCTAGGTGGCAGCCTGGGACAAAATGCCCCACATCCTTAAGCCTTGGACTCGGCACTTTATATGGTGCTCTGTGGATGCAGAGGTGGGCAGTGTCCACATCTGCACGTATCTACTCCCTCTGTGCCCAGCAGGGGGCACTCGCTGGTCTCCTGGGCACCTCTCATAGAGCTTGAGTGCCCAGCCAACCCCATTCCCTATTGTAGACATCAAGAATCTGCCCCTTCAGCCTCTGTGGCCACAGATGGTCAGTGTCCCAGAGCTCCTGTCATAAGACAGCAGAGTTCTAGTCAAAGCAGAGCCAACTATACACTGTCCCTCAGCGGCAGAGAACATCACAGCAGCCCCAGGGCCTCCCACAAGTCCCAGACTGGGTCAGACGTTGCGGGTATGGCACTTGCCTAGTTCTTGAGGCCCCTGAGATGACTCCAGCACTTTCTGTAACACAGGGATCTCCCAGTGGCCTGTGCCTCCCTTCCCTTCTCTACTTAGCTCCTGGGAAGTAAATTTCAGTGCCTGAAAGCATTGTTACCAACTCTGTCAGTTTTAGTCCTCAGGCTAGTTTTGCCTCTCCTCTCCTAGAGGCATTTCCTGCAAATCACCTGGTGGTTGTGCTAGATCGTCCTAATCCCCTTGGGTAAGAACCACTCAGTTTATCACAGATTATGTGGGAGTCAGTGAGACACCTGCAATTCCAGAAGCAGAGAAGGGGCGGAGATTCGGTGCCTCCTGACCACTTGATCTCGGGGTCCTCGGGGCTCCTTGAGGATGCTGGTCCCCCAGCTTGTCCTTGATGTCCTTACATCAAAGTGAGCCACTGGGCCACTTCTGTGCCAACTTCTCAGGACTCCGGCTTGGGTCCCGAAAGCCAAACACAGAGGGCACAGAGAGAACAAGGAATAACAATGACGTGCAGTGATGGCTGCCACTGACACCTGGGCTACCCCTCCTCTACCCGGGGGCCTTCCTTCCAGCTGTTCTGTGGGCAGTCCCCGGAAAATACTGCTTCTTTTGGGGGGCTCTAGGGCTCAGCAGCTGAGGGGGAACCATGATGTCCCCATAACCTGCCTGGAGCTCCATATCTCACCTGAGACGTCTTATGACTCATGTGTCATGTTTCTGGGTTGACCGGGAATAGGAAGGTACTTAGGCTGTGACAAAAACACGAGGAGTTTCTCAAAGGCTAACAGCTCCCTTTCCCTAACAGACGCATGAAAGTTTTCAGGTAAGGCAGCTCCTGGCCCAGGGCAGGGGGAGGCCTGGCTACCTCTGCCACAGCAGGAGCAGCAGAGTTAAGTGGCTGAGGCTCTTCAGCCAGCTCCAGAGAATCCCAGCCAGTCAGAAGAAATCAAAGCTTTCCAGCTCTGATGACCCTGTAGACGAGGCGATAATGAGGGCTGATGTTTTTTGTTGTTGTTTTGTTTTATTTTGTTGGCTAGAAGCCAAGGTCTGCATGGTGAATTCAGCCCTGGTCTGGAGTGCAGCCTCTGAAGGCAGCACAGGGTGTCACACTGGCCACTCCCATATCTCCCAAGGTTCTCTCCTTCTGAAAGGTCTGATGTGTCAGCGCACAGAGAATGGCCAAGGAGATGTGGGCAGAGCTAGTGAGTGGCATTGTGAAGTTCAAGTTTGCCCAAGACAACCACACATGGCCCTCAATAGGCTAAGCATCCGTGTCCTCCCCTCTTGCAAATACAGACAGCTGTAGAATGTCCACAGACAGCCAAGGACATGGGTCTCAGTGGCCTCGTCAGCCTACGTACAGGCAGATCCCTCAGAGTCCAGTTAAAAGTCTGCCACTAGAGCGAGCAGAATGCTCCTTCCTCCGGCTAAATGGAAATCTGTGTTTAATTCACAACAGAAAACAGTGACTCTTGTCTTCTGAGCAATTTCCTGCCAGCTTCAGGGGGAGCTGGAGAAATTAAAGATAGTTTGGTGGAACAGGTACACACATAAGGAAGTTATCCTGCGTGGGGCCCCACGGATGACAACTCAGTCACTTCAGAAAAGCCACCACCAACTGCTGCCTGAACTACAGCTTAAAAACCTGTGACCACAGTAGTTCTGATGTCACATGCTTCTTTCTAAACCATCTCTTGGCTATTGCTAACAAACCCATGTCCCTCCCCCTTTAGGTCCCCCTTGGGCAAGGAGCCACATAGGTACTGTCACACGGCAGAGCTTCTGGATATAGCAAGGATGGCCACTCAAGGCAGGAAGTGGCATCCAGGAAACGTTTAGATGCACACAGATGCACACACCTATGAGAACCCAGGAGAGGAGATACGAGTCCCCCAGTAGCCTGGGAGTTGGTATGGAATGCTGCACAGAATGATCAGGGCTGGCCTCTTCATGGCACAGCTCCTGGGAGGACGCTAAGTTAGGCAGAACACTGGACACTGTGAAAAGGAGGATTTGAGGAAGGACATAGACCCAACTCTGACTGTCCCCACTGAGCTTTCTAAAGATGAAACAGTATGAGGATAGAGTCCCTCCCAGATCTGGGCAAGAGCTGCCTAGTACAGCTGCCAGGCACAAGGGCAGCAATGTGGCTTCAACAATTCCTGAGCCCTGTGAGGGCGATGCCCGGGCTAGGGCCTCAACTCAAGGTACCACCTGGCCAGAAGTCACCCAGGGAACTTCTGCTAGATAAGGAAACCCAGGGAATACAGTGTTGTTGATTGTCGTTACTTAAGCTAAGTCAGTCCTACTGACACTGCTCGTTCCACCTTAGAAAGGACAAAGCTAGGAGGAAACAATGCAAGCCAGACCCACACAGCTAAAACACACACACAAAAAAGATCCAAAATGTTGTATTCATGGTCCTAGGATCTCAGCTGCACTTTAGTAATTCCACAGCTACACAGGAAGCACCTGCAATCCCCAGAAAAGACACACACTTCCTCGTCAGCTAAATTGTCCCTCATTCTGAACACCACTGCTCTCAAGTGGGGAGTCCAAGGGTCGAGCCCAGACTTGCTTAGAGGGAGGAAGCCCCCAGGCTTCACAGCTAAGGGGTAGGACCAGCCTAAGTGCTTTCCCATGACACGAACATGAGTCCTAGGGTCCCAGAGACAGCTCCAATTTTATGTCTCTGGCTAACCATTCATCTGAGACCCAAGCAGTTCAGAGGCATCAGTTGGCCACCAAGAGTTCCTCAGCAAATATAAGTGGTAGCAAATGGGCCTGGGCATCACCCTGGATGCCTCAGGCCTGGAATACTGATATCATGGCCCCAGTGGATCCCCATCTCCTCCCGCCTGAGACATAGAGCCACGACAGTCCACCTCTAACTTACGGTTTGGGGATTCCAGTACCATCCCCCTAGGATACTATACCAGATGCTGGGAAGGGACGGACGGGCTATCCTGGCCAGCCATCTGAGCCATGTCTCTGCATCTCCCGGTGATAAAAAGGCACTGCTCAGGGCATATTTCCCAGTCCTGCGAGGCCCGCGGTTGCGCGACCCCGCCCACCACCTAGTCGCTGCTTACCTGCTTGTCCCGTGCGCGATGTTCCACACCGCCGCCCGCGCGCCGTTCGTTCTCTTCAGTGCCTTTGTGGCCGCTCGCATACGCAGACACCACGAAACTGTCCCCTGCGGTCCGCCCACAGACGAGTGGGAAACACGGCACCCACGGAGAAGGAAGGAGACCGTGAGCCCCGCGGGGTGCGCTTCTGTCAAGTCCGCCTTGAGGCGCCCACCCGGTCCCCAGAGCCCCGGGGCCACGCACTCCTGGCGACCCACGGCGTGTCCCACCCGAGGGCGCGAGGAGCCCGGAGCTCGGAGCTCTGCGCATCCGACCCGGGGGCCGCCTCGCGCCCTGGCCGTGCCCGGGCTTACCTTCGGGGCTCTCCCTCCGCTTGCAAGCTGCTGCGGCTGCGGCGCGGCCGGAGGACGCGGAGAAGAGGGAAGGGACAGTGAGTGGCGGAGCCCCCTACCCGCGTCCCCACCCCCGTCCCACCCCCTAACCGCCGCCCGCACCTCACCCTGCTTGGACTGAAATTTCCCCATGTCTCCGCCGGGCCTGGACCTCCGGCCGCGCTCTCAGATGCACGCACGGGTTCAGAGCCCGCGGCGCATGAAGCCTGGATCCGGGACCGGGCAGTCGGATGAGCCTTGGCCCGGCAGCGGGAGACCGCGGCGCCGGCAGCGGTCGGGATCCCTCTGAGGGCGCGCGCCCGCGACGGGGCTTTAACAGCAGCTCTCGCAGCGCCCCCCGCGGCCGCCGCCCATAGCGCACTGGACCCCTTTGCTCTGGGATTTTCCTAGGGGGTTGGGAACCAAAGGCATTGCATTCTACCTTGCTCCCACACATCCAGGGAGACTGACCCCGGGCACCAATGAGTATAAACAGGGTCTGCAGTGGACTCTGGGTTTCTGGCTCTCTGAGGTTTCTTGTGGGAGACAACTTCCAACCCACCCAAACGCTGGTCTGGAAATTCTAAACTAAAGAGGTCGGTGAATGTTGGAGTCCTCCTCTGGAAGGGAGAACCCTAGAGTCACCTAGGTCTTAGAGACTTTTCTTGATTACTTTGGCTGGGAGAGGGGGTAGGGACAGGTTCGGGGGAGAGCAGGTAGGACCGAACTGTCCTGGCCTGCTGGTGTGGGCCCTTCTCCCTTCCTTCCAGAATGTCGGCCTAATTCTGGCCTCTTCCAGCCCCACAACGATGAAGGACCAGCACTGCCCATCAGCTTGGTCAGGCTCTGCACCCTTCTCTTTGACTTTGGCTGGGGCAGGGTCCTTGCTGGTCTGTAGTTGATCCAACCCCTCCCTGGCTGGCCAACCTGTGAAACCCCTCTCTGTATCTCCTCCTGCAACTTCTCCCTTGAAGGGGATCGCCCACTCTTGTTCTCTGACCTGCTTATCTTCAGAGAGAGCTCTTCCTCCCTTCTTCCTTGAGCCCCGGCTTGTTCTGGTCAGACATCTCTGCTTGGCTCCTTGCTTTACCTACCGAGCCCCGTCTTCTTAGCGCGCGTCTCTGGAAATGGCCTCAAGAACAAATGCATCATTTTCTCTGTAAGCCATTGCCATGCCCGGTACACAGCCTGTGTTCTTCCCCAGCTTTCTTGAGATGTGGTTCACAAACTCTACAAGTCCCCCACTCAAGATGAGCCATCGTGTGGTCTTTAATCTGTTCATAGCCATGTCAGCACAGTCAGCTCTAGAACCTCTGTCTCCTAGAGTGACTCCTTACCTTTAGCACCTACCCCCCCAAAGAACTCCCCCCCCCAGGAAACCATGAGGCCATTTCCCCTTTTCTCTGTGTATTTCCTTATTCTGGAATTTCCTACAAATTGATTCATTTGATGTGTAGGCTTTTATTTCTGCTCTCTCTCGATTCCCTCCCTCCCTCCCTCCCCCCAATAGAGCCTATAGTCCATGCTACCCTTGAACTCACTGTACAGCTAAGGATGACCTTGAACTTCTGAAGTCCTTTGGAGTTGTTGATTCTGAGTATTTTTGACTGCAAAGAAAGGTGCAAATTTTGCTTACCCTAAACAGGGCAATGCCACAGCCACAGATATGACAGAGACGGAATGGACTCCTGTAACTATGGGGACTCCTCACGCACAAGGTCACTCACCTAACCTCATCTCTCCTTTATCTGAAAGAGGGTTCTACCTTCAACCAGCAACTGAGAAGAAGGAAGGGAACTCTGGGAAAGGGCTCACTGACAAGTGGCCACAGCTGTGCTTGGGGGAGTTCTGGCAAACGCAGCCACCACCATCACTGAAGCCACCCGAGGAAGGTTCCAGAAAGGACTGCTTTCATTGTGCTGCACTGTCTCCCACACTCCAGCCTCACCTTAGGGCAATCAGGTGAGGTCGACTTGGTCCATGTCCTCTGCTTCATCCCAGTTGGTGGAGACAGAGATGGATGGAAATTTCCAGGAAATGGCTATTGTTCCTACCCTCCCCACTCCCAGAGCCGCAGCTCAGCCATGTGGGCACATCATTGGCCCGAGGAGACAGGACCCAATGTAAAACTGGGCAACAGCAGTCTCAGGTTAGGCTTCATGGAGAGGCTGGGACTTGAGGCCCAGCAGGCAACATGGAGTGGTAGTGAATTTCCACTCACTGGCCCTGAGTCCAGGCCTATCTCTGTCCCTTGAAGTCATCCTCGCCCCACCCCCGTGCTGCTGTGGGCTCTGAACTTTGAACCAAAGGCATTGGCATCAGGGAAGAACACAAAGACTGTTGTGTGACTCCCTGGGGAGAAGTAGAGAAACATCTTTTTGCCCCAGACAGAGAGTCCAGATGGACTAAAGACAGTTCCATCCAAGTACAGCTTGGTGAATCAATTAGTTTGTTAGGGTTATTCACAGGAGCATAAAGATGCACAGTTAGATAAACCATCAAAAAGCCCAACCCCTGGTAACTGTTCAAAACATCAGAGAGGGGAGGAGGTCTCCATGAAGGAAAATTAATATAATGAGGATCCAGAGCAGGTGGCCACAGCTTCTCTGCTTCAAAATAGCAATGGCTATTTCCAGAGGAAACTGCTATACTACAAATCCACACGGATGGAAGGCTGTCCTCACCAAGTGTCAAAGCAGAGTCGTTTAGACTACACTGGGGTCTGGTCTCATCCTGTGGAGCCAACACCCTCCTTACATGCAGCCAGCCTGACATGTCCGCTCTGGACCTGTCTCTGGCTCAGCCTCTGCCCCTGGACACGAACCTCTCAGCCTGTTTCCACCTCCTATTTCTCCCTGTCATCTTTTGGAACAGCCTGAGCTCATGCCCCTCTGGCCGGAGCAGCAGTTTCTCCAGTCAAATGACCTTGTTCTCCTGGCTGTGCAGTGTGGGAAGATGGACCACAGCTGGGCTGGCTGTATGAGGACCTGTCTCTGCCCAGGATCCAAAATCCCATGCCCTTCCTTGGTCTAGCATCTTGGGTCCTGCATCCCACACCCAGTGTCCCTGCCTTACTCAGGCCCGGGGCTCTGGGAAGAGTTCGTCAGTTGATAAAAATCAACTCTCAGAACTTTCAAAGAGCAAGGCTGTGCTGTAGCCACACCTGTCTCATTAAGTTGTGGGCTTGAAGCTTTCCAAAGCACTTTGTCATTATCTGTCAGAGGTGGGTAGGGCAGTGTGCCCTTATCTCTAAGATGAAGAGACGCTGCCTGGCGTCCACCCCTACAGCCAAGCTACAACTACGTATGCCTGCGCATGCTGGTGTCCCATGCCGTGCCACAGGGAAGGCTCCCGATCTCCAATAGCAATGTGAACTCTGCCTTTCAAGACTGAGACCCAGTTTCAATGAGGCAGAGCTATGGAGGGCCCTCCAAGAAGGAGCCTCCACTCCTGCCTGTGGTGGTGATCTCCAGTTAGGCCTGGCTCAGGCAGGGGAAGGGGACAATTGCCTTCATGAATTCTTCAGGAAGAAGCCCACTGTGTGTGTTCTTCACTGGGTTAGCGCACGTCACCTCTTAGCTGTGGCACCTAAATGATTCGGGCTGTTCTTACATGGCACTGCACCATGCAGAGAGGCAGGCTTGTCCTGTTCTGTGGTTATCTCTGGACAGCTGCTGTTAATCTCTGCTCTCCCCTCTTCAGAAGCGAAAGGAGCTCTGTGGCGTGGTGTGCTTTGGACAGCAGCAGGCAGAAGGAGAGGGGATGGAGCAGAGGGCCCTTGGTAGAAGGTGGCTCTGGGGCCCAGAACTGAGCACCGCTGATCCTGCGCTGTTTGAGGCCTCTCCGCACATGGGCAGACTGCTTGACTCGTAGACCAGGGCATATACAAACCACCCTCCTTGTGAGTCTGGGGTCTTGCTTTAGAAATGGGGCCTGCAAGCTCCTGGAGCACAGTCGAAGTGAGGGAGGAGCCATAATATGAACAAAGGAGTCAAGACCACGATGGGGAAACCCACAGAGTCAGCTGACCCGAGCTAGTGAGAGATCCCTGACTCAGGTCTGACAAATGGGGAACCTGCATAAGACCAAACTAGACTCACTTAATATAGGTGACAATGGTGTGACTGGGACAATATATGAGGCCACTGGCAGTGGGTCTAAGATCTAACTCTAATGCACAAACTGACTTAGTGGAGTCCATTCTATATGGAGAGACACCTTGTCCAGCCCAGACACAGGGGTGTGGGGGTGGAGAGGACCCTTGGCCCTGCCTCAAGGAGATGATGGGACAGACTTAGACTTCCTAGGGGAGGCCTTACCCTCTCTGAGAAGCGGATGGGAGGTGAGGTGGGGAGGAGAGGAGGGAGGGGGAACTGGGATTGGAATGTAAAAAATAGTTAATAAAAATTTTTTTAAAAAGAAAAAGAAATAGGGCCTGCCACAGGACAAGCACAAACATCAAGTGACAAAGTCAGAAAATGCCAATATCTCCTCAACCTCTTCCATGCAGAGATCACACGCATGCAGAGACTGAGACGGAGGGAATTTCCCTCACACGGTGTGTGCTCATCACATTGGGGCTGGGTCACTTTCTTGTGTACAGAATGCTTGAAGTCCCCAACCTGGCCCCAAGCTTTCCTCAGGCATCTCCTCTGATGCACAGGACTCAGCTACGGTGGAGGAAGGTTGTGAAATGTTAGCTGCCAGCTCTCCACAGACATCTGTTCCCTTTGCACTAACACACTTGGTCATTTTACCGTAAGTCAAGTGTTACTCAAAGAGACTGGGTACCTAAACGAATATCTACTGACCCCAGATGGGTAACAGACCAAAGAAAAGAAACTATTTCACCCAAGTCTAGCTTGGTGAACCAGTGAGTTTGTTTGGGGTTATTTACAGGAATATGGATGACTCAAAGGCAGCGACATCACCAGAAAGCCCACCACATCATGGGCGAGGACTCATGAAAGCTGCAGCAGTGGAGTACCATGCGTGACTTGCAGGCAGCTCGGTGGTCAGCCTGTATAATCTTGGGGAAGGAGGTCTGTGAATTTTGTTTCAAGAGTTTTCCGAGACTTGTAAGTTACATTCACCTCCTAAAGCCTTAGCAGGGTGAATCTGTGGGGCTTTGACGAGAGGCTCCTGAATGAGCTGAATTCTGTTGCTGGGATAGCCTCTTAGTGAGAGGTCAGTCCAGAAGTGAATTATTCTTGCCTTGTATCTTGCGGCAACTGCACAGGACCAGAACCTCAGTGCCGGAAGTTTGCAATGTCCACTACTAGCCCATGCTGCCACTTGGGGCTTAATTATCTC